AAAGGGTACAACAGTTAGGGGAGGGCGCGCCGATCGAGAAAGGTGAAACGGCGGAGTGAAAAACCCTCTCTTTCTCATTTAATGCAGATGAGACGCGCCCTGACCGATAAGACGTGCCCTGCCCGACAGAACAGCTCCTGATCAGACGAGACGTGGCCTGGGTATGGCCCACCACTACCGCATGCCAGCCACTACCGCACGCCAGGCACAAGAACCAAAGCACCACCGCACACAGGCGGCTCTCCGCATCCCTAGGCAGGACTTAGAAAAAACCCAAAACGAGATCTCCGTCAGGAGAGACGGTCGGGCTTCTTAAGTTGATCGAATGGCTCAGAAAGACACACCGAGCGACAGGTAAGGAGCAAAGGGATGCCCCATGTAGGCCATGCCGACTCCGTCACGAACGACGAGCATGGGTTCCGGTCGGACATTTCTGACTGGAGCTCTTCAAACCCCGTCGCTCGACTCATCAAGGTAACACTACCGACCCCCGCTATTTCTTTATTTTAAATCATTTCATACAGCCATACGCGCATTCATTCCATACGCCCGTGCCCCCCAGACGATTCGGGCCCTGAACCGCCCGGGGCTCGGGAACTAAGCATCGCACGTGCAGCGAAATACATCACAACGCTCCGTGTTGCGTCACGAAGCGGCAGTTGCCTCATTCGACATGAGCAACGACAGAGCCAGGGGAGAAAAACGCAGATGAGCCCCATGCAGCCCTCGCCCAATCTAGCAGACAGGGTCATCTCAACCTTGTCGTTCGATCCTAAGCCTCTGCCAAGCCCACAGAATCTCCATCGAGGGGAGGCCATTAGGCCACCCGGGTCGGTCTCCAGAACGACCCAGACATCTGCCGGGTTGCAGGTAAAGGAGTAGTGCAATGTCACAAGAGGGCTATGCCGACCCCATCAAGAACGACGGACCCGAATTCCACTCGATCATACCCATTAGCGAACTCATCGAGCGTGTCACTCGAGACTTAGCGATCGGGACAAGCGACAAAACTCAGCCCCTCCGGTTATGAGGAACCGAGGACGGGGTAATGCACACAACTCAAACCGACCCCTACTAAGGCCCAACGGGGCTCGAGGGCTCAAGACACCAAACGCCTGGGTCTACGACCCTGAACTCGCCCCATCCGGCTACGCTTCGACTGCACTCCAAAAACCTAGGTCTGTGACCCTGAACTCGCCCCATCCGGCTACGCTTTGACTGCACTCCAAAAACCTAGGTCTGCAACCCTGAACTTGCCCCATCCGGCTACGTTTTGACTGCACTCCAAACACCTAGGTCTGTGACCCCGAACTCGCCCCATCCGGCTACGCTTCGACTGCACACCAAACGACCGGGTCTGCGACCCTAAACTCGCCTCATCAGGATCCACGAGCTTCGGCTCACCCAATCCCTAGACTAACTAAACTAACTACCTCAGCTGCACAGGCTGCGTCGAGGCCAGGATCCACGACTCCGACTCGCCAGGTCCCGCGAGCTCCGTCTCGTCCGATCCCAAAAAACTAACTGCCTCGATCCCACGGCGCGCACCGACGCCAGGACTCGCGAGCTCCATCTCATCCGATCCCTTGACTAAACCGCCTTGCCCGGCGCGCATCGATGCCAGGATCCGCTAGCTCTGTCTCACCCGATCCCTAAAAAACTAAACGCCACGGCTGCGCAACGACGCCTTGGTTGACGACTCCATCTCGACTAAAAAACACGCACATGCACCCGCTGACAAACACCCCCAGACGATTCTGCCGAATCGTCCGGGGGCTCGAGGACTACACCTGCGGGTGCGCTCGCGCGCACCCGCTGACAAAACAAAAACCTCCCCCGCTGGCAACACGAACCCCCCTAGACGGTTCTGCCCAAACCGCTCGGGGGCTACACCCGAGGGTGCGCTCGCGCGCACCCATCGTAAAGGCAAAAATCCCCCAGACGATTTTGCCCAAATTGCCTAGGGGCTCAGGGGCTTCTGTCGGGTTCATAAACCCGGGGTCCCTAGCAGACCAGCTTCCCCGCAAAGGCTTGGCCCAAGCAGACAGCACGTAACTCACGGGTCGACCCAAGAGTCTAAACAACAGGCCAGAAGGGCGATCCAGTCACCGACCGGAAGGTCTGACCGAGGAGGAGGAGCACCCGTTTGTCGACTCCGGCCCACCTCTCCGACCGGAGCGCTCACTTCGGCCTCTAGCCGCCTTCGGACGGTCTCTCCGACCGGAAGGCTTGGCAAAACAATACCTCTGACTTCGACCCCACATCTCCGACCGGGGGATGCAAAGACCCTGGTCGCTGCTCTTCTTTGACTAGCGCAACCAGAGCCGACTGGGACCAACCGACCAGGGACGCCCGCCCGGAAGGAACCAGGGAACAAACGGAGAAGAGCAGGGCAGGACGCACAAGTCAAACCACGATACCAGGGACCGTACCCTATACACCTGCAGGAACAGTACTTTGCAACCGCCCTGACAAGAACAATGTTGTAGACGCCGACTTTTTACCTATAGTATTGTGGGCGCCATTAACTCCCATATGGTAAGGCCCCCACATGCCTCTGGGCATCGACAGTGTTGTGGGCGCCGACATTTATCGTACCAGGAGAACATGGTAAAAGCCCTCACATGCCTCTGGGCATCAACAATATTGCAGGTACCGACATCTGCCATACCCGAACAAGACGACGTGACCTCCCATGTGTATCTGACAACCAACAGTATTGTGGGTGTCTACCATCATCCTGTACGCGGCGGCGTGGGCAGCAAGCCTTAGAAGCATACGTACTCCACCCCTCTCACTTGTAAAGCCACCCCTTCATTTATAAAAGGGGATGCACTCTCTCCCAAGAAACTCAGTTGATTCAAGTTGATAAGTTAACCTAGATCGATCAAGTTCACTAGTTCACAACCACAGAACCGCCAGGTTCGGACCTCAAGCACTCGCTTGAACATTTAGCTCATAGCGGAGCCCCTGTCGCTCTCGGCCCTCCCGACCGGAGCCGACCGGACCTCTTGTACATTCCATCTTTCTCATTTTTGTTTTAACCCTCACTGCAAACTTCAAGCATCTGGGCTCAGGAATAAAGTCACCGACCGACTCAAACTGGACGTAGGGCACGTTGGCTGAACCAGTATAAACCCTGTGTCATTGAGTGCTAGGTCACCTCCGATCACAACGTACGACAAAACTACAAATATTTAATTATTAGTTACTTTCTGCACCGATGAGTCTAGAAACCGGGCGTCCAAACGGATGCGTTTGAACAGACGTCCTCAGCGGACCATTATCGTTAAAAAAACTTCAGCTACCGATGCAACAGAACAGTACCAAATATAAAAGGGAAATATAAAAAAGATAAAAATGGGAAAAATAAAAAAATAACTTCTAAAGTGTGGGACCTAATTATCCGGGTGAAGTTGGTACCAGGCGTGGAACAAGAGCATGGACAGAGGACGGATGGTGGGTGCTGCCGCCGCACCACAGGGAGCTCGAGGGACACCCGGAGGACACTGACCATCAGTCCATCACCTCTAGCGGCACGGCCTCACCGTGCGAAGTTGAATGGTGCGAGGCCTACATTTGCTACTGTAGTTCGATCGAGTGCCACTAGAGTGGCTTCTTCTAAGACCCATTTTCATTCGAGTTGCATTGGGTGTCTGATCTGATCTTCAACACTGGTACGGTGGTCAACTGCAAAGATGCGAGTCGACGCAATTTTGAAATGGTAGCCTTGATGAGGTTGCATAGGAGGGATTTGGGGAGAGGGCAGGGCGGCAAGACAGCGAGCAACTAAACAGTGAGAGTGAGCGGTGTCGCCCTAGAGACAGCTGCTGCCATGCAAGACAAGCTCTGGCGGCAGCGACCGCGTGTGGAGTAAGTTGATGACCGTTTTAACAGTGGACGACACATGTAAACAAGTTCGAGGACGGCAAAGAGATACGATAGAACTACAGTGAGAATCGATCAATGTATAGGTATCTATATAAGAATTTTACAAGTTTAAGGGACTATGATAACACAAAAACACAAATTTAGAGACCCGTAATGGACTTTACCTTTTTCTCATTTCACCCTCCAGAAATGCATACATTTTTAACTCAAATTTATTACATGCAACAGCCATATTCAGGTCCAACCTACGCTTCATCTCTCCATGAATGGTGTGCTACCTCCAGACTTCATTTGCCTCAATAACTGGTAAAATGTAACGAATGAGAATATATACAAAAATATGCAATGGATAAATTAATAGGGAGGTATTATGTCAGTGATGACAATGCAGTGCAAGGAGTGGCGATGCTACCAAGAGGCTATTTGGTATCAACCATTAGCACAGTATTTTTTTCCCTCTTCAGCTAAACATATTTTGGTCCAGATGAGGAGAAACCTAAAGTAAAGCTACTTGAAAATTTTGTTTTTTTTATTAGAGACCAATTATTAATCATAAAACCGAACTGTCTTGGATTGTCTTCCGTGCCTTACTTCACTCAGTACTGAGTAGAATCACTCAATTATGTAAGTGACTAGACACACAACGACTTCTGATAAAACCATGCAAGTACCATTAGTAGTGATAAGAATGAATTCCAAGGTTAATCATATCCCGAGGTTAATAGAAACCATGACATACTTGTGGTTTATGGTTTAACTATAGAATATTGTATAATCAGCTAACGTAATCTTCCAAGATGAAAATAAGATTTATTATTATGTCTCTCTGTACTTGTTTAACTGTTCCCTGGTCCACCCACCACTCATGAGCCATGAGGGCACATGGTTCTTTGAACACACATCAAGCCATTACAAAACCGGTTCCTCCATTGAAACATGCACTGGAAACTGCGGGGATTTTTTATTTGACCTGCAGCCCTGCAGGGAGAAGATAAACATCCTCTACTTCTGTTCATCCGTATACTGAAACTAATGCACTGAACCACTAATAATCAAGCATCAACATCTCTCTTTTACCCAACGAAGTAATTAAAAAAAACTGAAGATGCTTACCTGGAAACCGCTCCACCTCGGCCATCCCTCCCTTCTTCCACCAGCGGAAGCACTACCTGCTGCCGCTGCTCAGCTAATCTGTCGTCTTCAGAGGGTACTTCTCCGGGTTGCCATGCGTTAAGCTCCTCGTCGGTCCAGTCTCCGAAAATGTTGAGGACGGGGCCGCGGCGGCGGAAGTTTTCCTTGAACACCGCGTACCGGTGCTCCTCCTCGCAGGTGGAGTTGTAGGTCTTGTTGCAGTGGGCCTTCCACTCCATGAACACCCGGTGGATCCTCTCCTCCTCCCTCCTCTCCCGGTACGACATGATCGACAGGTACGCCGCCGCCAGCGAGAGCAGCACCAGCAGCGCTGCCGCCGCCTTGAGAGCCGTGGACCTCCTCATCTCCGCAACGACGGGACGCGACGCGGCGACGGTGGACAAGTAGATCTGGACAGTGGGTCACGTCACCGTTTAAGGAAAGAAGGGGACGAAGATGGGGAGCGTGGGCCCAGAACCTGACGGCTGACTGGCTGAGTGCCTGAGTCTTCCGATTTCTCATGTCCCGTTCCCTCACGATTCAGTTTTTTCACTCTCTTTCCGTCACATCAAATTTTTGACACATGCATGGAGTATTAAATGTAGAAAAAAAATAACTAATTACACAGTTTGATTGAAAATTACGAGACGAATCTTTTGAGCCTAGTTAGGCCATGATTGGACAATAATTGTCAAATACAAACGAAAATGCTACCGTGTCAAATACTGATTCCTAACCCCAATCTAAACAAAACCCCACTTCGGTTCATGTTCTCACAGTCAATGTTTCAAAAATATATATATATAGTAAATATTCTCACAGTCAATGTCTCCGAGAACATCGCGCAAAACACTGCATTAGAGTGTTCCTGTGAAATCATTTCCAGTGCCAGTCCAAGGATTTCGAGGGTCCGTCCTCTGGTGAACTCGTCGCGACGGTCCTTCTATACTATATATAAATTTTATAATATATAAACATTAATTTTTTTCAAAGAGAAAACAAATCCAATGATATATTTTTAATTTAACATGTTTGATAATTATCGAGCAACATTGTATACTAAAAGTAATATGATTACCTTAACGAAGAATATAACTCCATAATATCTATTGCTTCTCATAAAAAGATGGTTTTTTCGGGCGTTTCTTGACGCAAAATCATCAAGAACGGTAGTGAGATCAATAGTTTCCAAGATATCCCTCTCGATGGTGCACATAGCCAATCCATTTAGTCTTTCTTGTGACATAGTTGATCTCAAATAGTTCTTCAACAACTTCAATTTTGAGAAACTTCTTTCAGCTGAAGCTACTGTCGGGTTCATAAACCCGGGGTCCCTCGGGGACCGGCTTTCACGCCAAGGCTCGGTCCAAGAAAACAGCATGTAGTTCATGGGCCGGCCCAAGAGTCTAAAACACAACAGGCCGGAAGGACAGTCCGGTCGCCGACCGGAAGGTCTACCCAAAGGAACAAACACCCTATCGTCAACTTCTTCGGCCCACATCTCCGACCGGAGTACTCGCTTCGGATACCAGCCGCCTCCGGGCGGCCTCTCCAGTCTGACATCACGCTCCGGGTTCACAAAAGGATCTGTAAGTCCTCCCCCTCGCTCACTCTCTCTCTCACTTAGGAACCGCCGTGGCATACTGGCACTCTCGGTGAGAAGAAAGAAGGAAGAGAGACAATAGTTGGAGAATAGGCAAAGGACTGTGACGGAGAGCCCTCTCCCTCTCCCTATTTAAAGAAGAAAAGCAGACGATCAGAGCGCAAAACTCTGTCCCCATTCAATGTGGATGGGAAACGACGGGACACGCCCTGGCCAAAGGGACACACACTGACTGACAGAGCAATGCCGGGTCAGACAGAACATGGCCTGGCAAGGTGAAACGTGGCCTGGGTATGGCCCACCACTATCGCACGACCGAGCGCGAAAACCGAAGCGTCACCACACGTGGGCGGCTCCCCGCTTCCCTAGGACGGACCTAGGGAGACAAAAAACGAAATCTCTGCCGGGAGACCAACCAGCCCCCTGAGTCGATCGAGTCGCTCAGTATCCACACCGAGACACAGGTAGGAAGCGAAGGGACACCCCATGTAGGCCATGCCGACTCCGTCACGAACGACGAGCACGGGTCCTGGTTGGACGTTTCCGACTGAAGCTCTCCAAAGCCCCGTCGCTCTAGTCGTCAAGGTAGACACTATCAAAACCCCCTCTATTTCATTATAAATTATTTCATACATCCATACACGCATTTCATTCCATACACCCGCGCCTCCTGGACGATTTGGGCCCTGAATCGCCCGGGGGCTTGGGAACTAAGCATCGCATGTGCAGCGAAATGCATCAGAACGCTCCGTGTTGCGTCACGAAGCAACGGTTGCCTCATTCAACATGAGCAACCAACAGAGCTAGGGGAGAAAATCATAGATGAGCACCATGTGGCCCTTGCCCGGTCCGGCAGACCGAGTCATCTCAACCTTTTCGTTCGATCCTAAACCTCTCGCCAAGCCCACAGAATCTCCATCGAGGGGAGGCCGTTAGGCCACCCGGGTCGGTCTCCGGAACAACCTAGGCATCTGCTAGGTTGCAGGTAAAGGAGTAGTGGAACCTCACAAGAGGGCTATGCCGACCCCATCACGAACGACGGACCCAGATTCTGCTCGATCACACCCGTTAGCGAACTCACCGAGCTAGTCTTCGAGCCTGAGCGATCGGGACAAGCGACAAAACTTAGCCCCTCCGGTTGTGAGGAACCGAGGATGGGGTAACGCACACAACTCACATCGACCCCCACGAAGGCTCGACAGGGCTCGGGGGCTCAAAACAAACGCCAAGGACAGCGACCTCGAACTCGCCAGATCCACGACCCCGACTCGCCCGGTCCCACGACGCGCACCGACGCCAGGATCCGTGAGCACCGCCTCGTCCGATCTTTAACCAACTAACTACGCTTCGGCTTCAAAACGGCTTCACTTCCGACTGCGCTCCAATAATCTTGGGACCGCGACTCTGAACTCGCATAACGACTTCACTTCCGACTGCGCTCCAATAAACCTAGGACCGCGACTCTGAACTCGCGTAACAGCTTTACTTCCGACTGCGCTCCAATAAACCTGGGACCACGACTCTGAACTCACGTAACGGCTTCACTTCCGACTGTGCTCCAATAATCCTAGGACCGTGACTCTGAACTCGCGTAACGGCTTCACTTCCGACTACGCTCCAATAAATCCAGGGACCGCGACTCCAAACTCGCGTAACGGCTTCACTTCCGACTACGCTCCAATAAACCTAGGACCGCGACTCCGAACTCGCGTAACGGCTTCACTTCCGACAGCGCTCCAATAAACCTAGGACCGCGACCCCGAACTCGCGTCATACGGCTACGGAGCTCCGGCTCGACCGATTCCTAAACTAACTAAACTAACTTTCGATCCACGACGCACACCGACGCCTGGGTCCGCTCGCGACTCCGCCTCGACCGATCTCACGGCGCGCATCGACGCCAAAGATCAGTGAGCTCTGTCGCATCCGAACCAAGCTATCTCCATCCGTGGCGCGCACCGACGCTAGGGTTTATCCCGAACTAACCTTCTCACCCGATCCACGGCGCGCACCGACGCCGGGATCAGTAAGTTCTGTCTCATCCCCGCGCCTAAAACCGCCTCGGCTGCGCAACGACGCCGTGGTTAACAAAATTCCATCTCGAACTAAAAACACGCACGCCCGTTGAAACAACACCCCCAGACGGTTCTGCCCGAACCGCCCGGGGGCTACACCCGCGGGTGTGCTCGCGCGCACCCGCCGGCAAGACAAAAAATCCCCCAGACGATTCTGCTCAAATCGCCCGGGGGCTCGGGGGCTCCTGTCGGGTTCATAAACCCGGGGTCCCTCGGGGACCGGCTTCCACGCCAGGGCTCGGCCTAAGAAAACAGCATGTAGTTCATGGGTCGGCCCAAGAGTCTAAAACACAACGGGCCGAAAGGACAGTCCAGTCGCTGACCAGAAGGTCTACCCAAAGGAACAAACACCCGCTCATCAACTTCTTTGGCCCACCTCTCCGACCGGAGCACTCGCTTCGGACACCAGCCGCCTCCGGACGGCCTCTCCAATCAGAAGGCCTGGCCCAAAACGTTGCTTCCTACTCCGATCCCGTGTCTCCGACCGGGGACTCCGTAGGAAGCCTGCTCACCGCTCTTCTCCGACTGACGCGGCCAGGGCCGACTGGGGCCATCCGACCAGGGATGCCCGCTCGGAAGGGACCAGGGGTGAACGGAGAAGGCAGCGCACAAGTCAAACCATGATACCAGGACCACACCCTGTACGCCTACGGAAACAGTGCTCCACAACCGCCCTAACACAAACAGTATTGTAGGCGCCGACATTTGTGTCTACAGTATTGGCCCCGTTCGCTGGTCTGAACTTTGGCTGAAACTGGCTGAAAAACACTGTTCCGACTGAATTGTTGTGAGAGAAAAACACTGTTCCGGCTGAAAAAACAAGCCGAACAAGCCAAATTAAAGACAAGCGAACGGGGCCATTGTAGGCGTCGTTGGACTCCCGTACGGCGAAAAGCCCCCCACATGCCCCTGGGCATCGATAGTACTATGGGCGCCAGGATTCACCATACCTGGTACACGTGGTAGGGCTCCTCACATACCAATAGTATTTTGCAGGTACCAACATCTACCCTTCCTAAAGAAGACAACGCAACCTCCCATGTGCACCTGACATTCTACAGTGGCAGCAACAGTATTGTGGGCGCCTACCATCATCACTGTCCACATCGGCGTGAGCAACAAGGCTTAGTAACATCCGTACTCTCTCCCTCTCACTTGTAAAGCCATCCCCTTCATCTATAAAAGGGGATGCGCTCCCTCCAACAAAAGAAAGGGACTTCTTTAAGTCGAGATTCACTAGATCGATAGCTCACAACCCCTCAAGCACACGCTTGAACGCCTAGCTCATAGCGGAGTTCCGGTCGCTCTAGGCTGTCCCGGTCGGACCCGACCGGGCCTCTCGTACACTCCACCTTTTTCCTTCTCGTTTGTAACCCCACTACAGACTTTGAGCACCTGGGCTTAGAAATAAAGTCACCGACCGACCCAAACTGGACGTAGGGCATGTTGCCTAAACCAGTATAAATCCTATGTCATTGAGTGCTAGGCCACCTCCGATCACAACGTACAACAAAACTATAAATATTCACTAGTTGGTCACTTTCTATACCGACAGCTACAATCATAGGTATAGTTAAGAGGATTTGATAGTCAACTGAAACATTTGGATAGCAGTCTACAGCTATAACAAACTCCAGAATCTCAAGCGCTGACATCAAAGAATTTGACAAAGTCACTTGTAGCACCT